GTTCAAATGAATCTTCAATAGCTGTTTGAATTATTTCATAATACGTTTTACGTTGACGAGCAACCTAAATTTAAGAATTTTTTACTTCATAAATTATACATCTTCTATAACTTACAATACATAATGAATGAATTAATTGAGCATATTATTTATGATAATTTTTCATCTAAATAAAACAATAACGTAACATATTAATTTTTTTTCTCTTCTTTAATTTACAGCAAAAGCTATTAAGACATTTGTTAGTAACTCTCTACCACAATAGAATAATAATTCAGCAATATATTCAGATTTCCATGGAAGTGGTTGTGCTCGGAAATAGAAAAAAGATAATTTCATAGATCAAAAGTTTTTGCTATTTTCTATTTAGCAATAAGTTCATTTAATAAAAGCAAGTTTACTATTACTATTCCATGCTTATTGAGCATGTGTTGATCGATTAAGTACATTAAAAGCACGACTTAAATCAAAATAAGCTTGTTCTTCATCAACATTTGGATAAATAAAAAAATTCGATCGATCACATGAAAATTTTTCTCAATCAATTTTATCTTTAAAAAAATTAATTAAATATATAAATTTTATCTCGGATTATTTTTTATTTAATGACATAGATCCAAATAATAAATAAATAAGTCGAGCTTGAAACCAAATTGGTTGTTTATAAAGAATAACATTTAATAAACAATCACGATGTGCATGAAGTCATATTGAATCAAAATAAACCGAACGAAAACAATAACGTATCGAATGTTCAAATTGAATTTCAATGCCGACTAATAAACACAAAACTAGAACTATTTTAACAAATCAAAGAACAAATATACCATGTTCACATGAATAAAAACGATCAATTTGTTTCTTTAATTGTATATGTGAATCTAATTGAGAAAATGCCCAAGCAATTTCTCGTTCAGACTAATGTCTTGTTGCTTCACCAAAAAATCGACCAATATGAGATAAATCTTCAATAGATGTGCCATTATTCAACAAGTTTAACTATTTACAAAATTCAAAAGTAAAATCAGATTATCTATCGAAAGAGATCGGCAGTATACTGCAGAGATATTCCATCCTATTGAGATATGCAAACTGCAAAATGCCCTTAGGTCTGCTATTTAGTGTTACAATTTTGATATAGATTATGGTATAGTTCTATTTGGAAATAAAATGTCTTTAAAACTTCACCTCAAAATAATATTTCTTTCGTAAAACAACAGGTTACACAAACGGTTTGCTTCTTTTTCTGTTTGAGAGTACTAAAGATTCTCTAACAAAGATCAGAATCTTAGATTCTATAAGACTTATTGAAAATTGTTTAGCTTGACATTATTTTACAGTGAATATAACATGAAGAACCTAACGCATGAAATCTTTATCGCTCTATCAGCTGGTAGAGCAAAATTTGCTCTGTACAATATTCTATTTGACTTGTTTTCAGATTGTAAGGTCAGACATCTCAATTTTCGTTTTTCCTGAATCTTCACTTGTAAGAATAAGGTCTTTCAAGAATTTTCTCAACGAAACTGTATACAATATTTATAAGTTCTACTTTAGAAATAAAATCACATTTTGATTTCAATTCATATGTTTCGACTTACCTGAAATACCAAAAAAGTCGTTACAGAGATGTATTGATTTCTTATAGGACACTCGGAAAACTTTTCTTTTTATATAATCTATATTCAAAGGAAGGCTCTACATTATCCATCTAGTATCATAATAACATTAGTCAATATTGTCTTCAGTGAGTGTGTGGACCGTGAACAAGTCTCTGTTTTATAAAAACTCAATTTAAACTAGAAATATCGTACTTCAATGTTTTTGCTATGTACTATTCTATCAGTTGACGACCTAAAACTTTCATACCTTTGTAAAAAATACATCTTTAATAAGTTGTATTCAGCGTGAAAGTGGTACTAAACTTGTCATTAAACCATACAATCGACCTAATATCATTATTAATATTAAAATTAATTTAAGCTTTTTCTTATTTTTATTTACTAAGATTTTCCCAAGCTCCTGATCGACGACGATCAGATGTTGTTTCCAATATTAATTTAAAATATCGTGTACCCATTGATAATTGTAGAAAATTTAATACAATAAAAAAATATTTATTATTCGTACTAGCTAATTGATCAAGTTCATGTGCTAAAAAATAACAACAAACAAAAAACTTTTATGAATTCTTGATATAACAGAAACAAACGCGATAATTTTAATAAAATTAAATCCCGTATTTCAATTGGTATTTGGCTAAGAGGTACTTCTTCAGATCGACGACACCATTTCGTATTGGTTGTATGATAAAGAGGAAAGGAAAATTTTCCTTTCCTCTTTATCATACAACCAATACGAAATGGTGTCGTCGATCTGAAGAAGTACCAACTAAATTTGCTCAATGTTTTGTTATTCCTCTAAACTTACATAAATTGTAAAAAAAAACGTTTTTTTGTTGGTGAAGATAATGAATCATTTACAGAAAAATATTTACGTTTTCCGATACTCATCATGTTGATAATGAAAACAAAACGATCCGATCAATTTGGACGGAAAAATCTTTCTTTTTTAAATATAAGAGTCAAATATGTTCAAAATTATCTATGTATTGAAAACTAACAAGAAAAATATTAAATTAGTATGAATTTTAAAAATTATTTAATTAAATATATAAAAAGTAATATCACATATTTTCTTTTTTTTATTCAAAATTTAGATGTCGCTAATTATTAAATAATAATTGGTCATCCAATCGGATGAATAACTGTGCATGTGAGTATATATCGTAAATAAATCACATTCGAAAAAAAAAGATTGTTCTTTCGATCGAATTGTAAATAACCCTGATGTTAAATATAAAATGTTTATAATTGATGTAAAGAAATCTCTGGTTGGTTTCTTTCGTATAACATATATGCTTAACGAATCTATCATCAGCGTTCTGAATGATGAGTGCACCAAGCAAAATCAAAGTGAGTGTGCCACGCACTCATTTGGATTTGCACGCTATATTGCACCCTACTCAAAAAAATAGAATGAACCTGCTGCACTCTATTATAAAATGTTTCACTTTGTTTTATATTGGTTATTTCGTCTTTACAATTAATTTTCTTATTTATTATGTTCTTTCATTCAAGCAAGTAGTCTTATTCTTATTTCAGATAATGAAGAACAAGCAGTCATCGAGACACTCTCAAATAGCATCTACATTGCTTACGTATGTGGCTTATGTGTCACATAATATCAATATGAAGTATTAGAGAAACAATTCGTCGAGGAGCTGAAAAAGATGCGAAAAAAGAAAAACATTAGAAGAAAAAAACTCATCTGAAAAGGTCTTAGTTTCACTGGATATTTGAAGTTTTTCAATCACTACGGAGTCTGAGTTGTTAGTTCGTGTGTCTTTTGTCGTCATATAGGTTTTCTTCTTTAGATAAATTGTAATCAAAACGTAAGGTGAACGTAACAAGAGTAGGTTGGAAAGTACATGAGTTGGAGTCTAGACCCTTTTTTTTTACATCGGCACGTTCACTCTTAAATCTTCCCGCTTTGATTATAACGAATAAAATAAAAAAAAAGTACTTTATTAAAAGTAGTCTTTTGACTTGACTAGTCACCAGTTTTGCCTTTGAACATGTTGTAAACGTTATTCGAAAAAACAAAATGTACAGATCGATGATGCTCTTAAAAGCATAGTGTACTTGTATATTCTATTTCAGATCCTCATTAAAAATATTGGAAAAACTATTTCTGATCGATTGTTTGAAATGTCGGGTAATTTTGTTTCAATTATGTTTAATCATAAAGGTGATAAAGAGCCAATCTCAATTCCTCGATCGAAACTAAATACACATTTACCCCCATTGATTATATCAACACAAGCAAATGTTTTATTAGCCTCAAACAAAATCTTCAAAAACATTGATAAAAATTCGTATAACTATATTACAATTGCAAAATCTCTTTCTTCGCCCTTGACTTTTGTTTTCGATCGACTTAATGATGATGAAATCGAAGCAAAAGAAAGAGAATTAGATGATCGATTGAAACAAGATGATGAACAAGCATTAAGGAATGCTAATCAGTTATGTGAAGAACAAGATAATGTTTCTACGAAACAACAAGCAAAAACAAAGTCGAAGAAGAAAAGCTGGAAGAACAACAAGCAAATGAAGAACGATGTAAGTAAGACGAATCAGATATCATCTGAGATAGTATTCGATAGTTTCTACTGTAATTTTAAGTATAATCTGATAGTTTCGAGCGTTAATAAGTAGTTGAATAATATATTCTAGTTTGGACAGAAACATTGCATAATCTATGTGCAAAAAGTTTTTGCACAAAATAAATCTTCAATTTTCTTTCACTAATTGGCTGCACAGAACAAACAATAGTAGTTATTTAGAATGAGAATTTCACTCTTTCTAAATATATATTCAGAACTTTTTTTTCGATTTAAAGTTGATTTGATAGGAGCAAGTTTTCAAAGAGAACCAAAAATGGGATTTGTATAGAATTTTGTATGTAGTGAATTTTTGTACATTGACTAAAAGTACCTCAATTCTAATTATAAAGAAGCTTTTTTATGCAATAGTTTATAGAACACAGTTTGCTCTATAAAATAAACTCTTTGCTTTGCTTTTCACATATTGTTGAAAATTATTAGAATCTATTGTATGATAAATATCAAAATTCTCAAAAACCGATGTTGTTTTGAAGAATCCCATTTCAGTTATAGAATAGCATTCAGAAAACTGTTTTGAAATCCTTAGCTTTGTACAGTATCAGACTCTCTACAAAACTAGAAAAGAAAAACTTTCCAAATGCTTTTTTTTGATATATTGCACATTATAGAAAAAATTTCATTTTCTATTGATTCAGTTATTTGTTTATAGGTAATCAAATGTACGTCACAGTCAAATTCGAACGATACATTTTAAAAGAGTATCGAATTCTGAGACTACCTAACTAGTTTCGATCTCTTTCAATTATATTTAAATGTTCGAAAACTGATTAAACATTGTTACTAAGATCTATGAAACTAATGTTTTGTACAGACGTGATCTTTGGTCTTCTTCGAAAATTTGCTTCTATCGAATCAATTTAAAATCAAAAAAAAGAATTCGGAACATATAATTAGAAAGAGCATGAAATTCTCATTCTAACTGACTAATTTTAATTGTCCTATGTAGCCAATAAGTGAAAGAAAATTGAAGATGTATTTTGTGCAAAGACCTTTTATACGTAGATTATCTATTCTATAGAGGATCTTTTTTTAACTAAAAGCAATTCTGTGGAAAAGACTTAAGTTGCAAATCGACACAAACTAGAATGTTATTAACAGCTTGATCTTTTCACTTTTTTCCAGCAGAATACATTCGTTTACTACTGTTCTTCTTCCACTGCAGATTTACCAGAGAAGAGAGAAGGAAAAAACTCTCCGATGACATTTTATTCAAATTAATCCTTGAAAACTTGTTTTATTTTTAATATAGGGTGTCCAGTAATTCACTAGAGTTGGAGAAAAAAATTTGAATATTTTCATGAATCTTCAACCAAATGAGCTGAATTTTTTTTGGAAGGTAGAGGACACGTAGCAGTTTTTATTCATAACAGAACAGGTCGTTTATGCGGATGAACTCAGCACACTTTTCTTCGCTATGTAAATAAGCTAG